CAAATACTGCTTGAATACCCTGTCATCAAATCTATGAAAGCTGCAGGAGCATTGGTTAGTCCAAATGACATAGCTACAAATTCATAATGATCATACAAAATTCTTAAGGTTGTTTTTGGAATGTCACTATCTCTGACTCTGAGTTGATGATAACCGGATCTGAGGTCTATCTTCGAGAAATGACTAGCACCCTGAAGTTGGTCGAACAAGTCATCAATCCTGGGGATATGGTACTTATTCTTGATTGTGACTTTGTTCAACTGCCGATAGTCAATGCACATTCTGAGAGAACCATCTTTCTTTTTCACGAACAACACTGGTGCACCCCATGGAGAAGTATTGGGTCTGATGAAGCCCTTATCTTGAAGGTATTTTAACTGCTCTTTCAATTCCTTAAGCTTAGTTGGAGCCACTCTGTAAGGAGGTATAGAAATATGTTGGGTATCTGGAAGGAGATCAATTCCGAAGTCGATTTCCCTTTCGGGAGGAACTCTGGGAATATCTTCTGGAAACACTTCTGGAAACTCATTAACTACTGGAATTGACTCAAGAGTTGGGGTTTCGGAGCTTAAATCCTTAACCCGAACAAGATGATAGACACAACCCTTAGAAATCATCTTTATGGCGTTAAGGTAAGAAATGAATCGACCCATAGGCACTGAGCTACTACCTTTCCATTCTAAGATTGGATCGTCTGGAAACTGAAAACGAAAGATCCTAGTTCTACAATCGACTGAGGCATAACATGAATGTAACCAATCCATGCCTAGAATGACATAGAATGACATCGAAGTCTAGCATTTCTAACTCTACAAGATCTGCTGAGGTGACTTTATGGGAGACAGTGACAGGTCAATTTCTGTATACCCGTCTAGCTTTAACTGGGTCACCAACTAGAGTAGAGACTGAGAAGGGTTCTGAAAGAGTTTCTGGACTGACACCGAAGTTTACTGCTATATATGAAGTTACAAAGGAAAGACTAGCCCCTGGATCTAACAAAGCATAAACATCTAAATGAAAGACTCGTAACGTACCAGTGACCACATCAGGAGAATCTTTTTGGTCCTGGTGATCCTGAAGAGTATACAACCTGTTATGGCACTGACCGCCACCTCCTGCTAAGTCGGGTGACCTGCTGGGGCTGCTGAAGTGGTAGACTGAGCTCTACCATTGTTACCTCTTTGTCCCTATTTAGAAGAAGGGCAATCCCTCAACCTATGGCCAGACTGGCCACATCCAAAACACCCTTCTTTCCCTGCAAGACACTCACTCGGATGGTTCTTACCACTCTTAGGACAAGTTGGGTAGGTGCTAGTACCTGAAACATTCCCCTGAGACTTAGAGCTTGATGCCCTACCTTTCTGGATGGAGCACTAGCTGATGAAGGTGCTGAATCTTAAGATTTTTGCTAGAACTGAGAGCGATTTCCACCACCCAATTTATGCTGAGAGTAATCATAGTTACCCGTCCTAGCCTTCTTATTGTCCTTAGCCTGTTCCCTAAGCTTGTCTCCCTCAAACTGCTGAGCATGAGTCATAAGCCTAGAGATATTCATATCTTCTAGCAACATAACGGACCAGTTGAAGTCCACGGATATGTCCATGATTTTTGGGACGGTGGAGATCCCCGACATGCCAGCTGATACAGATATGCCTCCGGCTACCACTGGAGATGAGGTTCAAGTTAAGGAGGTGGCTGCTCCTAAGTCTGAAGCTGAGACTAATGAGGAGCAACTTGGTGTTGATGAAGAGACGTCTTATGAAAGCCTTACGGAGATTCATGAGGCGATGATAGATTCAGTCGTGCAGATTTAATTGGCTGACACCACCATGGCTGGATCTAGTATTACTGATACCCCGAGCACTAATGCCCAAGATCAGAGTGTTGCACCTGGAAGTGATGCCCCGACAAATGGAGCGACTGTGTAGACATGACCCTTCTTTACCTCCCTCACTGTCTTTTTATTGACTTTCTAGTATTTTGTTGCATTTGAGGACAAATTGCTTTTTATTTGTGGTGGAGTGAGGTATTTCCATACCTACCTCTTGTGATTATATTTTTTGTGTTTGAATTGTGTTTTGACACTGTTTTGTGGATGTTGAGCTTGTGGCTCTTTGTTTTAAATACAAATGGTTTTTGACCCTTCTAAAAAAATTTGCCACCTCTTGTTATGTTTAATCGAACAAAAATGAATGTGCGGCTACGGTGAGGCCAAATGAAGTTGCATAGATAATATGTGAACTTTTTGCATCTCGTTGTGACTAGTCAGGTATCGAATGAGTCTCTTATGATGAACATTGCACACTAGCGAAAGTGTGGAGTCTTGTTTGATATTAGTGTCAATGCCTTGTGTGATGAGCTTAC